GCAGGACTACCTTTGAACGTTGGATCCCGCCACTGCTAACGCGGCTAATGTGAAATCATGAACTGGCTAAGGTATACGTAAGGTTTTCAACATCATGACGGACAAGCGTAGGACTGATCTTCACCTGAACCGATTCGAAGGGGGGGGAAGACTACAGCTCTCTCCTCAGCTCTAAGGTTGCATATTTGTCCTGGAACCATTTAAATTATCTGCACAACTGTTTTGATCGCTATGAAAATTCAATCAGTATGTATAACTGTGAGGACTGTAGGTCAGGAAACCAATGTTGCGGGTTCGTGCCGAAATTAATGGTGCCGCGTAACTCTTTTACTATCCACTTGCGGCACACCACAAGCCTGAGCGCCCTGGCCGAGGAAACTTCGTCATAAAGTTAAACCACGAATCAGTTTCTTTTTCCAATAAAAGGCGTTTTAAGTGGTAAATGAAGTAGTTTAGGTTCTTCTGCTTTATTTTTCTGCTGGATGGTGTAGATCTTGTAGAATGCTCACTCCCAAGCTGAAGGTACGTTTTTCATTCTATAATATCCACGTGGTTCTGTTCTCCAGCTACGTTTCTAATTTTTTTCTAGAAGTTTTATGAAGAACTGGGAGATGCAGATCGACCGAATCTGGAAGTAGTATGGATCTCTCGTGATAAAGAAGCCGCGGATCAGCTGGAGTACTATGAGAAAGCAATGCCACCATGGTACTATATACCGTTTGGCGATCCGAACATCCAGTGAGTAGTCGTTGCCATCACATAATAATGTGTTGTTCTCCTTCAGGCCGCAGTTAGTTTATACGGACCGTTTGCCTGTTCGCGCTACTAACCAGGAAGGAATGGCGGGGTGAAGTAGCCATTTGCAATGAGACCTACACTGTTGGATGTGTTTTTGGCTGATCTCGAATCTGCTTTCCAAATCTGCCAATCGATTTTCTGAACGGAGTTATGAAGCAAAATAGAGCAGCGGTAGTGGGCCGGGCTCGCGATTGAGAGGTCGCGATCATTTCTGAGTGCTGACTTGGCTACAAATTAGCCTTAGGAGAATTCTTATTTCCGGTACACGAATATCATACCTGTCTGCTGCAGGAACTTCTGTCAACAGTTCTGCGGGCGTATAACTTCGTATAATGTATGCTATACCTTAGTCTATAGCGCCCATTGTAGGAATTCTCAGCACTTCTCTCCTGATAGCTGTAGGTGACGCGATCCAAAGAACGCGGAGGCTTTTTCTTAAAACATGTATTACCGCGAGAGGCAAAACGAACTCTATGATGACATCGGCATAACTCTTCGAAGACCTGATGGTCTGAGCTTGTACACAAAACGCCGCTGCTCTTCTATCGTTGAGCTTTTCAATAGATCTCCGTTCATAAAACTTAGATTTGGCATATTTGAAGTCGACCTCCGAGACTCGAGCGTCACAGACACAATCCTAATAGTGTAGGTGTCATTGCATATGGCCAGTTCGACCCATCATCCATTCCTGGTAGGCGCGTGGCAAATACGTACTCGTTGCGATCACATGGTTAAACACATGTGTCTCATATCTATCTACCTCGATTATGCGATCGGGACGATCGAACCTCATTTCTAGTACTAATTGTGAAATTGAATGAAATAAACCAGAGTCACTTAAAACAGTGCCACAAAGCTACTCAAACGTTTTTCACTGCATAATACCATCTCACTTCTAATGTTTTTTAGAGGCTTTTCTGGAGAAATATAAAGTCCAGGTCATCCCTGCTCTAAAACTGGTCAACGATAAAGGCGAAGTACTGAGTGAAAGTGCAAGAGCTGACGTGGAAGTAAGCATATTATCGAGTTTCATCTCCATTACTTGCCCGATCCTCTATAAGTTCCAAGAAAGTCACATTGATACTTCAGGAGCGTAAAAAGTGATGCTAACTAGTTACTAGCAGAATATGAACGGCGTCTGTACTCGAACCTTCAACAGATCTCATCCTGGCCTACGCACTGATAGTTGAATTGATAAGCCACTCTATATTCTACAACGTATAACGTAATAACAGAAGTCAGGGATTTCATAAATGAAGCCTTAAGAGCTTAATCTGAGCTCCATATTCAATCTTCGTAGCGTGGGTTTAGTCTTTCACACACAAGCATGAACAGTATGCTGCCCTAAAGGCCTCAGCGTAGAACTCCTGTCTAGGTCTGAAGAGAAGTAGATGAAGCTGGAGAGGAGCTCCAGAGTGGACTGCTATAAACTATGGATCTCCTCTCCGGCCCCATCCACTCTTTTCTTGACGAAGATTTGGTTTTAATATGGTGGATTCAGCAGAACCTTACCACTTGTCTACAAAGATACATACTGAATAAGCGATGTCGTCAAGCCCCTCGCCTAGTTGTTCACCGTTTTACGCTATAACCCTACTGACGAGCATAAGAAAGCGCATTCCATTCATTGAAAAAGCGTCATTCTTTCACGCTCTATTGCGGCCTATTTTCATGGATAACTCTTTCAAAACATTGAAGAAACCTAATTCGCGATACTGATAGAAGGATAAAAACTTCATTAGAAAAGAGAAAAAGCATAAAACTCGCGAATTAAGCACATCGTATCATCTATAAATGAAGGGTGATAATGCGAGATCAATCGTGGTAGGCGTAGCATGTATAGTTACAAGAACACGAGAAACAGCAATGAATACCATACAACAGTTACGTTATTCCTGTGCCTAAGAACAAGAGATAAACTTGCTAAAATGAACGTTTGAGCTTTAAGAGAAAACCCGCGAAGGGATGTGCTAGTTGATTGCAGTTCGCCGCGGTTGCTCCTGCTGGACACATGGACGAATCCAGACCTAATGACGAGAATGATTAATTTACATTATCATGGTACAGGTCGCATTGTCAGAAGGTCAATTTTTGTCTTCACTGGTCTTCGCTCAGGGTCGGGTCATACTTTGCAGTTCCAATGTAGGGTAGGTGCGCCAACGTATGATCTTGCGAGTCCATAATTAATATGTATCGTATACTCCCCCCTCGAACTGAAAACAAAATTGCGGAGTATGATCCTCACCCAACCCCCGCCTCACCTTTCCTACTTATCAACTATCGCTTAGTTGAGTTAAAGGATAAAAGGATAGATAATAAGGATAAAGGATAAAGCATTTGCCGTTGATCAATCCCTTTTTGGGATGCGGCACGCATTCTACTTCCATTTGTACATTCGTAGTGGCGTTTGAATGCGATGTGGCCTATACAATGACTTGCGGGGGCCAGCCGATGTACAAGTCAGTGTTTTTATCCTCCCAGACAAGTCTGGTACCAATTAACCGACCCCGGAGGGATGGAAGGCTTGGTTGGCCCGGGCGACTCACGACCCAGGATTTGATCCCCGGACCGCTCGCGTGGTAAGCGCGCCACTTGCCACTACACCACTTCCGCCTTTTAGTTGAGTTGTTCGCTTTATCTAACTCTATATTTCACTCAGCGATTCTTTCCGCTCATGCGTTGGGGGGGGGGAGTACTCGACCCCAAGAAAATCGTAGCGCGTGTGAGCGCCGACTATCACCATCAGGCAATTGTTAATATCAAGGTGAATACTGTGAAATCAACCTATGCACAAAAATAGCACGGAAAGACAACTTTCAATCATTCTTCTCGAGTTATAACGGAAGAGTCTTCATCCTAGGCAAGGACTGCGGCCTACGATCAACTGTTTTCGTTGCACTTATCACGGATTGCGACATATGGCACTTCGACCGCAAAAAAAGTATGTACACTTCTCACAAGACCTGGAGCGAAAAGGGCGGGAAAAATAGATCCAGTATTCAGTACCCCAGCTCCCCGCCAACAAGGTCATCTTGTTGCATGAGAGTAAATATCTAAAAAAAAAACTTACATCGTCAAAATATGGATGATGTAGCGCCTTCTTTGATGAGATGCGACGAGCTGGATCATACACAAGCATTGCCTGAAAAGAGTTGATGGATTCCGAAAACATGCTAATAAAACACATTAGCACATTCAACGAAACCGACGTGCCCGTATGCAACGATTCCTTTCAAACGATTCCCCTCCCTATCGGCGGGAACCTGCTGCATACGGCATGTGATTAATGAAAAAAAAAACGGATATTGGTTACTTCTAGCAAGTCAATAGCATCATGGTCCATGTAGTTTGCCATCTTTTCAGCTAAAGAGCTGCCCTTCCACTTGGGGAAAGTTGGCTTGTAGTCCGGTAACTGACTGACTCCTGGCCATTCAGCCTCAGTGGGAGTGCCAAGAATCCTTGAAAATTTCATTTCTCCTCAAGTAATAGTAGAGCACAAGTACAAGTGAAATAAAGAATAAACAACGTCACACCTGAAAAGACGGAACAGCTCGTCGATTTCTGAATCTCCCTGGAACAATGGCTTCTTGCTTGCCATTTCGGCAAAGATACATCCAATGGACCAGATATCAACACCCATTGAATAGCGCTGTGTCCCAAGTAAAATCTCAGGAGCACGATACCACAACGTAACAACCTAGAATTCCTTGACCGATCCAAAATCTTAGTGGTCGAAAATTTAATCACATGTCAACTGATGCGAAACCACCTAAAACTGCATAGAGCAAACCCACATGATGATACACTTCACAGGAATACCGATTGCTCGAGCCAAACCGAAATCGGCCAACTTTATGGCGCCTTTGCCATCAACCAAGAGATTTTGTGGCTTCAAATCACGATGGATCACACGGCGTTGGTGAGCAAAGCAGATGGCCTGGCAGATCTGTTAATACTACTATAATTATATCTTTGATACATAATAGAAACCAATAAAAGTCTGAAAAATGCACATATATGAGAAAGGTTCATTTTCAAAAACTACGCTACAGAAACTAATTCAGAAGGGTACCTGGAACATGTAGCTCTTACATTCGGCAGGTGGAAGCCGCTTGTCGGCAGGCAGCTGATCCAAATATCTTTTCAGATCCATTGAGAGAAACTCAAATATCAGATAAAGACGATTTTCCTGAAAATCTAATATTTAACCTTGCCAAGAGTATGTCGGCGGATGGGCAAAAACATTGCCATACGCAGGATATATGCAGTATACCACTGGAAGCTCAGCTGAAGCGAAGCATTGCTTTAGGTGATATTATTTTACCGGTAGCAAAACTGCGGAAGGTCGATGCGGGCTCGATTCCTCCTGGTAAGCAGGTTTCGTTTTTCTTTTTTTTTGCTCCAACCAGCATCTTTAAGCATACTTTTCGCATGGGAATTCGGCCAGAAACTGTTACTAATAACCAAAAAAACAAGTGAAAATTAAAGATAAGCAGTGTCGAAAAAGCCACATTCATGCTCCTAGAAAGCGCTCGCTGAGAAATAGACCGTCAATGTGTGATCAGTCGCTTGTTTTCACAACACTACGTCTTACTGTCATAAAAACATGAGTAATGAGTCAACGAGCTGTTCTTCATGTTCTCTTTAGTTCGAGAGCGATTTTGCACTTCCACAAAATATGTTCTTTGGAAGAGCTTTTAGCGATTTTTGGCTATTTACGGTACTCTCCAGTGATGGTCTAAATTCAACATGCATTCATCCCTATCAAAATCGTGTCTCTTTGCGCGCTAGTCCCTAGCACTCTCTCGCTTAGATATCCAACCACAACTATTGCGACCTAATGCTTCAACCTTTGCCACACAACGTAATGCTATCCACGGCCTTGGCTAGGGCTATTACCATTCCCTTTCGAGATTCGAAGACTGGTCAGTTAGCGTACCACTGCTCTAGAACAGTAAGTGCATCATTAGTAGACTCGAAAAAAGCTCAGGAGCTTTAATCAATCCAACTAAAAAGCCCAAGTATTAAGCTTCCATTAAACTGGTGATGTTGGCAATTTGCCGTGAAAATCTAACAATCTAGCCATTCCTTACAACAGAACGGTGAAATCTGGTGGTCCCACTCAATTTAATGTCTCTTGTCTGCTTCCTGTGCGCCGTCTTTGTTTCTTTGTTTTGATATTTCTTATTGATATATTTCAACGTTGGGAAGGTTAACATAGCAAACTAGGTCGGCATTGAAATCTGTCACCTATTATGATCACACAGACCTTCAGATGGAGAGGGAAGGCTTACACAGTGGCACCCAGGTGGTACGCGTTAGACTGATTCCATGATTTCTAGAGCGCCTTTTTCGACAGGTTTTCCTGCTTGCTTTAGCTTGCAGGTGAATCCTGCAGGAATTCCAGTCGAATGAGGTCAGGAATTTCCTAAGTAAAAAGTCCTTGCGGACTTCCAAATCGAGAAATCCTTTTTACAGAAATTTTGCCGATGCTATCGCAATATACGGGGCATCCTCTAAGAATAAGCCTAGGAGCAAGCAGGAGCTCAAGAAAATATGTAAATGGCCCCCACACCTTAAAGTCTCTCCCCCTCATCTACGGCTTGGTCCCGTTTTTAATAAAAAAAGACATGTTCACGGGTTTTGAAGTTCTGCCATTACAATGCACCTGCATGTTGCTAGCGCCATTTCTCTTACCAGTGAATGCTTAACATTCCAAGGAACTTTGGATCGAGACCAAGCAAATCGATAGTACTGAATTCACAGATATGTAGACCAAAACTGCTACGCGACCTTTCTAGGCAAGTTGTGAGCGGTCAAAGTTGGCAAGAAATGCAGTAAAAAAGTGAGTTGCGGCACCTGAGCGTCAGATCGCCTCTGTCTCAAAAATGAATGTCATATTCGTGACCAGGCCATCTGTTTACCTTATAG